GGATTCTGGGAGTTGAAGTCCACCCGTCTTAAAGTTCCCAAGGTTGAGAAACACTGCCTTGAAGTGTCTGGACAGGCATGTGGCCAGGAAGTGTGTGACGAAAGTTGGAAAAGACTCGGACGGAGTGGGACCCCAGTTCCTTCTCGTCTTCTGGGCAATTCCACTTCTGGTTGAAGAGAAATGGCTCCTCCACCTGGTGTAGGGAGGCAACCTGAAAAAACGAGTGGGTCTTTTGGGGGTTCCATGGGACCCCCGTCCCACCCCACCCTTGAAGCTGGGTTTCCCAAAGCTCCTTGGCAGCTATCTGCCCGACCTGGCCGTCCCCACGTGGTGTCAACCCAGACTTGCTTCTCATCCTGGCCTTTCACGTTAGGAGCCTTCCTCATACCGTACGCAATCATGGCCATCTTTGGAGGAATCCCGCTTTTCTACATGGAGCTGGCGCTGGGGCAATATCACCGCAATGGGTGCATCTCGGTGTGGAGGAAGATCTGCCCCATCTTCAAAGGTAATTCCCAAGGACAAGGCTATGGGGTGGGGGTGGGGGGCGCAGCCATGGCCGTGCCACCCACATAAAAATCAGCTGGCGCTTCAGTCACACCAATGCAGCTGCCATCTTGCCTTTTTTGACCAAATTCTGTGGACACTCTTGGGGTCAACCCAGTGGGGCCCATGGGTGCTCCAAGCTGGGGAGAATCTGTGAATCTTCTTCCCATCTTCTTTTTAACATTTTGTTAGCAAAGGATCAAATCCCCCAAAAGAATAATACAGGAATAAGAGTACAACAAATGGCAGCGATTAAAGTAACGACAGGAGAGAAAAAAAAAAGAAACAAGAAAGAAAGAAGAGAAAAGGGTCCCTATTTATTTATTTATTTATTCAATTTATATGCCACCCATCTCCCCCAGAGGGTGACTCTGGGCGGCTCACAATTAAAAACAATTAAAATCAAACATTAAAAGCATTAAGAATATAAATCTCTGTATTAAATTAGCTAAAAAGTCATGCTACATAAAAAGAAATAGAAAATTATTTCAATCCTTATGATTAAATCTAGGCCAGTGTTTCTTCAACTTCTCTTCTCTCAGGCCCTTTCCCACTTTTAAAAATTATGGAGGACCCCGAAAGAAACACATGGGTCACATTTCTCAATATTCACCATATTAAAAAACTAAAATGGACGCGTTCATTGCCACTGCTGCTTCTCATGATAGTTTGATGGGATTTTAATATTGTATTATTTTTCAACATAGGCTGGGAAATCATTCTGATTTCGCAGACCCCGAGAGGGTCTTGGGGGACCCCCCAAAGGCCCTTGGACCACACTTTAGGAAACACTGATCTAGACCACAAGCGCATTTACTCCATCTTCTCAGATTCAGAAGATAGACATTTCAAAAACCGCTAAGGAACACATCTCCTGGATCCAGTTTTTTAATTGAGTGGGCATCACAGGTCCCCCCTTGCTTTCCTTCCCTCCAGGAATCGGCTACGCCATCTGCATCATCGCTTTCTACGTCGCGTCCTACTACAACACCATCATGGCCTGGGCCCTGTATTACCTCGTCTCTTCCTTCAGCAGCGAACTGCCCTGGATCAGCTGCAAAAACTCCTGGAACACCCCCAATTGCATGAGTTACTTCTCCAACCAGAGCATCGCTTGGACGGCCAACTCCACCTCCCCAGCCGAAGAATTCTATACGTAAGTGCATGTAAGTCGAAAGAGGGACGGGGGGGGGAAGGCGGGGGGGAGAAGCACGGTGAAGCCCTGGGCTTCCTCGGGACTTTCTCTGCGCACCCCCAAGGGCACCTCCCTGGCCAGACGCCGCTTTTCCAAGCCGGTCGGGGCACCAAAGAGGGCCGGACTCTACCCCCCCCAGCCTGAACTCCCCTGATGGCGAGTTGCCACAGAGACCGACACTGGCCCGGTTTGGGTGTGGCGCTCTTGGGGGATGCTTGGCACTCATCCAAGGCCAACATCTGGGTTCTTTTCCAAACAAAGAGCAGTGCCTCTTGGCATTTGGTGTGCTTCCCAGCTGCAGAGCCCTCATTCCTGCAGTCAGGGTAGAGGTCCACAAGGAAAAGCCCTCTGCCTCGCTAGCAACACGTAGTCAACTTGTTCCAGGTTTCCTCGGCCAGCTTCCAGGGCTGAAGGCAATCGTGGGCAGGTTGATGCCATCCTAAGGCCGGCTGATGAGCCTTGCCCAGCATGGCCAATTGTCATGAGTCATGGGAGTTGTCCTCTAAACCAGTGTCTCTTGACCTTGGCCACCTTAAGATGGGTGGACTTCAACTCCTAGAAGTCCACCCATCTTAAAGTGGCCGAGGTTGAGACACAGTGCCCTAAACCTTCCAGAGGGCTCCAGGTAGCTTACCTGGCCCAGAAACAAATGCCCCCCTCCCTCCCCTTTGATGCAACCCCTTTAAGAGTCTGGATGCTGAGCAAGGTGTCCCGTCTTTGCTGTCCATTTCAGCCGCCACGTTCTTCAGGTGCACCGAGCGAAGGGGCTGGATGACCTTGGAGGAATTAGCTGGCAGCTCACCCTCTGTCTGCTGTTTATCTTCACCATTGTGTACTTTAGCATCTGGAAAGGGGTCAAAACATCTGGAAAGGTGAAGAGTAAGGCAAAAAAGGAGAGAAGGAGGAGATTGACTGATGCAGAAGACTGTATGTCGGGGTCAGAAAGATGACGTCTCTCTCATGCCGGCCACCCTTGCAGAGTAGGGGTTGGGGGGAGGGCTTGCTAGAAGCTCTTGATTCCATCTGGACTCTGAAATTATTCAAGGTTGCTTGATCTCTGAGCGGTTCTCCCTTTTTTCTGGGCCATGCCAGAAAGATCCCTCCCCAAAGGAAAGATATGGGGTTAGATTGGATGAGAGGTTGTTTCTGGAGCCTGGGGTGGCAGGTACTTGGTGACCCAGTGGGGTACCCAGGTTGGCCTGTAGGAGAGTGCAAGGGAGGAGGTCTGAGCCCCATGGGACCTGAGCAGCCCCTTGGCTTGGCACTCTTCTCAGTTAATGCTGGAGTAGGTGAGAAAACCTTGTGAAGGGTATCCCCGGCCTGCATGTTCTTGAAGACCCAGCAGACATTGCTGTCTCCCACCCACCCAATTCAACCATCTTCCCTTTGCTGGTAAATGATTTCCCCCATCATAAGAACCACCAGCTGGGCCTTGGCACCCTTTGGTTCCTCTGGGTCAGTGTTTTTCAACCTTGGCAACTTTAAGATGTGTGGACTTCAATACCCAGAATTCCCCACCCTTGCCAAGGTTGAAAAACACTGCTCTGGGCCTTGGGACCCCTTTGAATTTGACTTGCTCAAGAGATCTCTAGCAACTTGCAAGTTTGAAAGATGTCCAGTTTAGGCCAGGGATGATGACTCTGTGAAGACCAATTCATTCCTTGATTCTGCAGCCTGAGGGCGGGGAATGGGGTGGACCTGCACCCATGAAAAGCAAAATGACCCCCCAACATGCACACAGTTGAATTCATTTTGCCCTCAACCAAAATTAGTTCAGTTCCTCAATGTCTCCACTTCCCAGACAGCATCTTAAATGCTGAAGGGACTGGAAGCAGGTCTTGTCCTACAGATGGAGCATGTTCATTCAAGAGAGGGAGGCCTGCATTCCTCCAGCGTGTAGGATGGGGCATCAGCTGCCATTCCTGACTGAGAACATGGATTCAGGCTTTGCATCGGCAACCTTCTTCAGCAAATGCCCTCTCGCTTGCTTCTCATCACAGGTCGTCTGGGTGACGGCCACCTTCCCTTACGTCGTCCTCTTCATCCTCTTGATCCGGGGAGCCACCTTGCCTGGAGCCTGGAAAGGGGTGCTCTACTATCTGCAGCCCGACTGGCAGAAGCTTCTCACGACTCAAGTAAGACCACCGGGGCATCAACAGGGCAACCAGGACCATTCGATCCAGCCCTGCCCCTTTTTAACATAGCCTGTGCTACACATTTTCCATCCATTAAAGTAAAGGCACTACCAAATGGTAGAATCAACATGCGACTCTACCAAAAATAATAAAAACTGCTAGCGATTAAAAGCCAGGTTTAAAAAATGGGTCTTCAAGGCTTTCTTGAAGGCATCTAAGGAACATCTCCAGGAGGTGAAAAGCAAGGCCTCCTGAGGAGTGTCAGAAAAATCAATAGGACAGCTTTGATCACACAGCCATGGCTGCCATCTTGACTTTTTTGACCCCTGCAGACATTCCTGTAAGGAACTCCCTGCAGACACCCCAAGTCCTACAAACTCCCTTGAACTGTGGGGACCCCAGGCCATTCTGGTGTGGACTTCTGGACGTCCAATTCTGTAATGGCCAGAATTCCCGGCTCCCAGTCCCTCTGGAACAAGGCAGGATCAGGAAGATGCTCTCTGGCTTAGTAAGACCCTCCTCTCCTGAGCATCTGCTCTTTTAGCTACGTGCCAGTCCCTCCAGAAATGTCTCCCGTACCCTTCCCCTCCAGTCTGATGGAAAAGAACTTGTTGTTCGAAGGTTCTCTCAAAGGAGATGAGAACATGGGTGAAATTCTCATCAGCAGAAGGTACTTGCACTGATCTAATGATGAAGTGGCCAAGGGTGATGTAAATATCCGTTCTTCCATTGCACAATCCTCTTTCCATTGCTCTATGGTGGCCTTTTAACCCCAATTTTCCTGGGGATTTTTCTTCTTTCGTATAAGAAGTATGAGTGTGCAGAAGGCTGTGTGTGTGTGATGGAACGATCCATAACGCATGACAAAAGCATCGGTGGCTGCACTCTCAAACTTTGCCACCTTCATTAAGAAAGTTCAGCTTCAAAACTTCCCCCGAGAGAACTGCAATGGAAATTCTCATTCCCTCTGAAGTCAGCAAATCAGAAATCTCTTTTGCAAGGACAGAACACGTTTCAGAAGCTGCACAGATTTTGGCCCAACAATTCTCCCAACCACCGTGTCCCTTTGGAGGCGGGGAGAAAAATCATGTCTTCTTCTCTGGAGCAAGTTAGCAAGTTAGCCATGGCAAAATCCAGTTCAACTGAGCCTTAACCTGCAAGAAATCTCTGGGGTGCCAACGTGCCCTTTCCTATGCCTAGTTATAGAAGTCTTGGGCAGGGAAGGGAGAGGAAAGATCCAAGCACTTTAAGTAATAAATGCAGCAAACAGCAAGATTAGATATTCTAATATTCGCTAGCCGGATGCATGATCGGGGGGAGTTCAAGAGGAAATGAAGACACGCTGTTATTTGATAAAACCACCTCTGCGATAAGGCCTAGTTGCCACCCTAAAAGTAATAAACGGCCTTGCTATTGTACTGAATATCTCTGAAGTGAGGAAAGAGCAGATTGTAATCTGTGCATTGCAGGCTGGCTGTGAAGTCGCCACGTGCTCCTGTACCCAGAAAGATGCCTCCAGGCAGCGTCTGGCTCTGCCCAGGGAGAGGGAAATGGGGCTGGTTTGTTTTAGAAAGTAAGAATTCAGGAGGAGTTTCTCAAGGACTCTCCATGCCAACTGTTGCACGCAGCAGTTTTGTTTTCTGGTTTCGAAAAGAGTTGCTGTGGCAAAACCCCCAAACGAGCAAGGTGACGAGGGGAAGGTGGCAAACGTAGGAAGGTGCCATCTTGCCCGTTGCTGGGCGGTTGCGTAAGGAAAGATTCATCCGGAAATGGTCTGGATGATTAGCCTTATGATATCAAATGCTAGACATTTGGCTGCTTTCAAAACCAGTTTTTAAGAGGAAAAGTGACTGTCATTGAGGAGGAACTGGATGTTGAAAGGAGTTACGCTCCTTTCTTGCAATACCACCACAGACGAAGGGTCAAGCAAAAGGAAGCCCTTCTTCTCAGAGTGCAACACCCTTTGCAGAAATCCAGGGTGGCGGTGCCAGCTGCAAAGTCCCCAGGGCAGGGGATCTGATGGGTGGTGGCCCCTGAGGCTGGATTCACACGATATGCTAAGCCCCAGACCTGGCTTCGTAATGCACAGTGGCTCCGTCCAGGTACCACGCAAAGCCCGTGGAAAGGAACCCAACCCAGTTCATGCAAAGACCCCAGCTGGGCTTTCCAAAAGAGGCTGCCACCAACTAGCCCACCCTGGGCATTGGGCAAACCGGCTGTCTGGTTAGGGTGGACTTGGTGGCCCCAGAGCATCAGCTGCAGAGCCCCTGGCTCTAAGGATGTCTGCCTCGGGAGCAGGCCTAGGTTCTCCCACCAGCTGTCGCCCTGAACGTCCTTCGCACCTTCCCCAGGCTCTGCCCTCCAGGTGAGTTGGACTTCCACTCCCAATGGCCCTGAAGGCCAGGCAGAGGCGTCCAGCACATCTTGATTCATGCACGGAGCAGGAAGAGGAGAGTTGATCCCACGGTGGCCAAAACTGCAATATGGTGGTTCCAATATTACAGTTCTTTTCACGACCCGCTTTTTCGATCTGTCGTTGTAGGTGTGGGTGGATGCAGCTGCTCAGATCTTCTTCTCCCTCGGACCAGGATTTGGGGTGCTCCTAGCCTTTGCAAGCTACAACAAGTTTCACAACAACTGTTATCAGTGAGTTCCATTAGAAGAATTAAATCTAAATCTTCAGGGGGTTGGCAGGAAACCTTGGATGCAGAGACCGTGAGGGCTTCTTCAGGGAGGTTGATGTTCTGTTTTACACTCCGCTCCCCTGGGGGGGAAATACAGGAAGAGTTTAGCTTTCTTTTTGGAGCAGAGAGTGTGTGGGAACTCGGTGGTCTTCTTGTAGTCATGCTTTTACCACTGAACAGACAAGTGGTAAGACTAACTCCGTGATAGATAACCTGCTTTCATGCAGAAGGTGTCAGGCCCAGCCCAAGAGCCATGGTGAAAGCGTCCCCTTGAGTTCACTTCTTTCATTTGC